AAGGTTTCGTTTCCAAACGTGGGTATCGAGTTCCCGCCTTTACGCTTCCTTCGTATGATTTCGTTCCAGAATTGGATTGATCTCCTGTTCAAAAAGAGAGGGAGAGGGGGGAGAGAAAGAGAGAGAGAGATTTTTAACGCGTTTAAAAATGAAACGAAATTCCGTCTAGGTTTCGAGATGAAAGCGAACGGAAAAGAATTAATTGATCGGGCGGTTTTTCTCTCTCTCTCTCTTTCCTTTTTCTTCTTTGTTGGAAAATGGAAAAAGAGGATGATGAATATACTAGGCGTTAAGACGATATCCTCTCTCGATTACACGCATCGTTTATAATCCGATACGGTGGTGGATGATCGGTGGAACCGAGCACGAAGGCTATCGAAAATCTCGTTTTACTAGAACAGCCAGGTTGATCCTCGGACAGTGGAAGGTACAAGGATTTCAGGAGCAGGACAGGGCCCCGTTGTGCGTATCTCGGACCCGATGGCCCCGAAAACCGGTTCCGTCCGGATTTCACGTGACACGCGTTTCTCCTTTTTCGGGGATCCAAAGGAATACGGTGCCTCTCGAATGTATAAACTGTATTGCATTACGATTACGAGCTCCATTATCGTACGTGTCGTAAACAGCAATTATAAGCGTCGTGAAGAAACGTATTTTAATCGAGTGTTGCACACAACCAACTTCGTACATCTTTTCCTTCGTATATCCTCCCCGATACACACACACATATATATATATATATATATATAGATATACGTATATATACCCGAACCGAATCTTTACTCTTCCTTATCGGCCGGTACATTCGACCGTTTCGAAAACTCGTTCTTTTTTTCCCCTCTCTCTCGTTTCTCTTTTCGTCGAACGAGTGCGAGACCGAGCGCTATACGGTACTTAAGATGGAAGTACGGAGAGGTTTGATAGAAGAGGGTGGTCGGCGGAAGAAGGTGGCACTGGGATGGAGGTGGGGGCTTTCTCGAAATTCGTCGGAGAAGCTTCTTCTTTTCATGTCTCGGTAAGCACGGCAGGAAGCTGTAAATGTTCACGCCTCGATCCGACCCCCTTTTAATTTCTGCTCGGCTGCCTCGGAATTGATAAAAATTCTACGTCACACGCAGGATGAGCACACCGAGTGGCGCGCGTTTAATGTAGCAAAGGGAGGCGTGGACGGTGCGGTTAATAACGAAATTTATAAATTCAGTAGGTGCGCGCAACAGCTCGCTCACTCGCTTCTCCGTACCGCTCGCTCGTTCTCTACTCCCCTCGCGTTCGCGCGAAAACTTCCACTGGATTTCTCGCCTCGCAACCGTGTGTGCACCGTGTGTGCACATTGCCACGCAGGCCCCGTTCCACGAAACGTGGGGCGAATCATTCAAGGTCGCGGCTAGTATCGCCCAAGGTCAACGTCTAGATCTCCCCGAGTTAGCCGCCTCCTCGATGCGCCGGGTCAATGCCCGGATTACTCAAGGTCAACGGCTGTCTAGCCCGGGTCAATGGCCTCCAGTCTCAAGGCCAACGTCCGGATTATTCGAGGTCAACCAAGGGGAGAACCGCAAGATGGAGAGGAAGAAATAACCAGAGCGTACGCTCGTCGACTATTTTGGACACACTCGATCGATCGGTCGGTCGAATTTCGCGAATTTCCTCAAATTTTCTTTCATCCGCGACAGAAATTGTTCCTCGAGAAAGCGAGGATAAAACGATTGTTGCGCGAAGGCGAGGAACATCGTTTCTATCGAAGATCTCGAGCTTTCGTATCGTCGTCGATATTAGCGATATTAACACGGTATTGTAGGGAGAGCAACGAAGGGATCGAATGGAAGACAAAGAGGACATCGGCAAAGATCACAGCTCGTAATCGAGGCGCGTTCGAGACGGTGGGAAGAAAAAAATGATGAAAGTATTGGGATTTTGAATATAGAGAAGGGACGGTGAGAAGAAGGAAGAAAAGAGGAGATCGAAGGAAGGAAGAAGAAATGGCGATGGTGCAGAGAAGAAGACGGTGGGGCGAGAGAGTGGAAAGACGTAAGAGAGACGCAGCAGCAGCAGCGGGAGTAGGAAGTGGCGGAGGAGGAGGAGGAGGAGGAGGAGGAGATGGTGGTGGAAGAGCAGGAGGAGGAGGAAATAATAACGACCCCGACGTCGCAGTGCCGCAGAAAGGTTGACGACCCGATGCCAGGCGACGCCCTCTCTCCCCTTGCCGCCCTACCATCCCTTCCCCATCGTCCTCTGCAACCATCATCCCCCTTTTGCAGCTACCACCACCGCCGACGGCATCCCCCACTCGACTAAACCACCCACCTGGTACTGCACGTCGTAAGCGCATAGCGTACGT